TTTAATGTTTACCTGTACTGTATATTTCTCCAAATCACGCCCCTCATGGAAATCAGCTCCTAGTTGTTGAGGCCAGCGTGCTTAAATAAATTTTTGTATGTATGTATGTATGTATGTATCCACAGGAGCAAAATGTCTTTGACATATGAAATTTGTCAAATAGAATTTGCTCATGTAAATGGGGCTTAATTCACCTGCATGAGTACATTACACCAACACAGCAATATCATGATTATTAGATTGCACTGATATCGAAGGAACTAGACTCAGTTCCGAAATATCGCATACTCGAACCGACCTGACCGCGTAGCTCAGTTAGCAGAGCATTGAGCTAGTAAGGTCGTAGGTTCGAATCCCACCGTAGCCAGGCATATTTTTCAAGCCTGCCCGGTGTGGATACACACTCAGAGTAACATCGCACAATCATCTAATTCACCTGAGTACATTACACCAACACAGCAATATCATGATTATTAGATTACACTGATATCGAACGATCGAACTAGACTCAGTTCCGAATTATCGCATACTCGAACCGACCTGACCGCGTAGCTCAGTTGGCAGAGCATTGGGCTAGTATTCCAAAGGTCGTAGGTTCGAATCCCACCGTGGCCAGGCATATTTTTCAAGCCTGCCCGGTGTGGATAGACACTCAGAGTAACACCACGCAAGCATCTAATTCACCTGAGTACATTACACCAACACAGCAGTATCATGTTTAACACATGTTGTACACAAGACACTGACCAGGTGATTCTTAAGAACATCGCCGTCCCTTCCTTGAAACAACAGGGAATTTTGCTTGCCAGGATACAACAGGGAATTTTGCTTGCCATGAACTTCTTGGCTTGACCGCCAGGTGACTTCCAATTGCCTTCCAGCCCAATGTTTTTGACGAAAATCTTTAGCAAATCGAAGTCTTGTGTCCATTTGATAAGGAATCCCGTCATAAGTTAAATATGTACAATCTTTTTGCAATATTATGGTATTCGTATCTGAATTCGCTTGCTCCAAATTTTCCTGTTTGGTAGAGCTGAGCAAGTTATGACCGTCCGCCATGACTGTACAAATTGATGTATATTATATTTCGCCATTCCCACCTTTTCTTTGCTTTTTAACTCTTTTCTTTGCTTGCATATGTGTAACTCTTTGTAAGTTTTATTCTGTTTGATTCCATAATTCTGAACAAACATTGCAGTATCTTCCGGAGCGATTGCAGAATACCCGTCCATTTTATAATATATGCCTTTCAAACATCATGGATACGATGTATTAATACCTCTATATTTATTCTCAATATATTAATAATAAATAGATTAATAGATGAAATCCCATGGTGGTAAAAGTAGCCACGAGGCATTCAGTGACTTAGCATTAATAAATTAATTTAAATTATCATACGGTTAAGGTAGCTCTATATTTCAGTCGATACGCGGATACGCATGCAGTCAAGTCGTTATTTGTAGAACGATCGAGGCATGCAGTTAGTCATTAATAGATCAAAGTGTCATGCTATAGGTAGCTCTATATTTTAGTGGACCACTAAAATAATACGGGGATACGTGGATGGTCATACGCGGTCGAGTCGTTATTTTGAGGACGAGGCATCCAGTTAGTTAGCATTAATAGATCAAAGTGTCATGCTATAGGTTGCTCTATATTTTGCGCAGTGGATACGCGGATACGCAGTTATTGTGGCTTTGTGATTTATAAAACGTGCCTTACGATGTTTTCAGGAATGATTGTGGCGTAATTGAAGAAATCATCTGACAATCGTTTTTGGAGACGAGACCATATTTTCGCATGCTAACGTCCGATTTTCGTCATGTGCATGGTTTAACTGTGTAACGCATAGATATCTTATATGGTGTAACGGTGTAATGTTCCCATAGAAATAATAGTCATAGAATGCGTGCTCCTATCTCTTCTCAGTAAAAATTTTGTCTCCACAAAATGGCGGATTTATAAGGGCATTTTGGCTAGTCCCAGACTCCTGCGGCAAGGATTTTCGCGCGGTTGCCGGGAGTGCGAATTGTTTTTTTCGACAAAGTTTGCAAAAACAATTATATCGAGACTTGAAGTGGGAAAAAAGTGTTTTTAATGGAGAAAAACCCATTCCCGTGGGTTTTTTTACGAAAACCAATAGTTCTGAACAGAATATATACAGAAATCGTTTGAAAATACATTTTCAACGTTGTTGTGCAAGCCAAAACAAAACACGAAAAATCAAGACAAACTCAAACTCAATAGGTATGTTTTTAATAAAAAATATATTTCAACTGTTTTATAATATAAATGGAGTTCAATAATCTTTCTAAACTTACACAACTACTTTTTATATTTTTCTATGCGTAATTGCTTGAGCTTGAGGCAACGCTTTTGAAACCATATGTTTTCGACGATCATTTAGGCGATTTACAGTTTTAATATCGACAACTAAATATTTTTGTTTCAAAAACATGAAAACACTTCGTTTAGATTGAAGAAAAACGAAACCCGACGAAGAATGAACTATCATTTCGTAATTCCATGAAGTATTAGCAAAACAGTTACGTTCAGAGCATGCAAAAATGTTTTATGAGAAATTATATTTTATACGCGAAACTACACGAAAAAACTACTTGTTTTTTATACAAGGCTGCACGATTTTCACCGTTTTTGTAACGGCACATCTGCTTTGAGCGTTTAAAGAACTTAATATTTCAAATTCTATCCCCAAACTACAAACACAAAACGTTTTGACGATGAAAACTTTATAGTTTTAGCTTTGTTTATACAGCACTTTGTAGTTTGCATTCCTACGCAAATTCAACATGGCGGATTTATAAGGGCATTTTTGTTTTCAATTTGGACACCGGTCACGTGACCAAGCACGCATTCTAGGTCTAATATTTCTAGGTCTAATATTTCTATGGTAACTCCCCACCAGGTATAGTATGTTATGACTGACATGGGTGACTCCCCACCAGGTATAGTATATTATGACTGACATGGGTGACTCCCCACCAGGTTATGGTAAAAAGAACTGTACAGAATGACTGGCGACTTGACTTGGTCACTGACAAAATGACTTGTGACTTGACTTGGAATTGCAAGAAATGACTGAGAGCTTGTAATGTATTAAAGGAATACCGAATGGTTTTCCGTGCAGGATTGCGTGATCCATGCACGAGGGATGTCGCGAGACTTTCGAAAAGCGTAAAAATACTCGAGCCGCAGGTGAGTGTACTGTATTTGTACGCTTTCCGAAAGTCGAGCTACATCCCAAGTGCATGGATCACGCTATCCTGCTTGGAAAACCATTTGGCAATTGTTCTATAAAATAACTACAGTGAAACAATGACATTTCGAGAATCCCGCGAAAATCCCGCGAAGGCATTTTAATTCCTCGTGCAGGATAGCCTGATCCTGTACGGCTATTGACCAATCAAATTGCGTGTTTCACTGTAGTTATTATATAAAGTATGATACTGTATGACTGACATGGGTGACTCCCCAGGTTATGGTAAAAAGAACTGTACAGAATAACTGGCGACATAACATGGTCACTGACAAAATGACTTGTGACTTAAAATTGCAAGAAATGACTGACAGCTTGTAATATATCGTATATCATGATTGACATGGGTGACCCCCCAGTTTATGGCAAAAAGAACAGTGCAGAATAACTGGCTTGGTCACAGATGACTTGGGATTTGATTTGACAGTAAATGACTTGTAACTCGACTTGGACTTGCAAAATACAACTACGGCTCGAGGAATGATGTCATCAGTCAGCAACATGAAAGTGCTGTTGTGATAGAAAGTGATCGTCATGCACCCCTATTTAAAGCATGGTTCATTATGCCCGACTTCCAAGCAATACCTTTGACCATAACGACTGTGGTTGGTGGGGAAGCGAAAATTTATCATCATGATATCATTACAAACTTCAATACAACACAACTCACCACAATCATGTCATTGAAGAGGAACACGACTCTGTGATGTGGTTTTTCTTTCTTCTTGCCGCCATGTTGAATTTCATAAAGTGTTGTGACTTGTCGCAGTTGACGATGTGGTAACGCAAGAGTCTGGAGAGAATTACAAACTATTGGTTAAACGAGGGAGAGATGCGGTCACATCTACTCATAGTTAACCAACGTACATGGTTAGTAAACTGCTAAAATTCATCACTCATCACATCAGTCGATCGTCATGAAAAGAACACGAATCTTACCGTCCACGGAACCTTGCCAAGTATTTGCTTTTCGTATTTATAAATAGCATCAAGATTGTCTGGACCAGTCTTAAACTGTTTCTAAAAAAAATGGAATTTCCACCACGATTATGAATACGTTTAAAGGCGGTTTTCCACTAGGCGAAATTTTTCGATCGAACCGAAATCTCTATTGTTCAAATTCAAAAGATTTCTGATTAGTTCTATCTGAGTGCTTGTAAGACAAAAGAAAATTTCGATTCGGTCGAAAAATTTCGCCTAGTGGAAAACCGCCTTAAGAAACATTGCATTAACTACATATATTATGCATTGTTCTCCGCGATTTTATTTCCAATATATAAACAAACTATGTACAAACCAACCTTTTCCACACGATCAAAAATAGCGGACAATAGTTCAGATGGGAGATCTTCACCATCATTTGTTCCTAAAAATACACACATTCAAACTCATTCGTTTCACATTACACGCTACCATACACAACACCACATACAGAAATGATATTTGCTGTGTTGGTGTAATGTACTCAGGTGAATAAGATGCTTGTGTGATGTGACTCTGAGTGTATATCCACACCGGGCAGGCTTGAAAAATATGCCTGGCCACGGTGGGATTCGAACCTACGACCTTTGGAATACTAGCCCAATGCTCTGCCAACTGAGCTACGCGGTCAGGTCGGTTCGAGTGTGCGATA